GACAGCAACTTGTCTGTTCCCCTTCCCCCAATTCCCCAGCACTGTTCCCATCCCCCCAATTCCCAATAAAAATCTTTAAAAAAAATGGCTGAGATATTTTTAAAAAAAAATTACACTGCAATAGTAAGTAATGTGTTGAAACTTACAGATGCACACAAGTGGAGGTTTCTGATGGGCCCCCAGAAGGTGCCCTCCCTCCTCCTCTCTCCCTTTGCTCCTCCACCCCCAACCCCCACACACCAAGAATCACTGACTTAGGACAGTTTTTAACCTGTGCTCTTGTGAACCAGGGCAGGCTGAACTGAGCCCCAGCTCTGCCCACTTAATCAGCATAGTTCTGTTTCTTAATACGAAAATGGCGATTGTATTTACTGGGCAAATTAACAAAGGATTCTGTCACCAAAAAGAGTTAAGGGCCGTGGCTGGGTCAGTGGTTTCTGTGAGGAAGGGGCACTTTGGCCACATCTGTCCTCTTTCCTCATCAAACCCCCATCCCACCCACAAGAGGAGGGGTCCAATCGGCTAGGGGTGCAGGCATTTGACCCACATTCTCCCAGTGGCCAGGTTCCTATGTGTGAAGGCCAGCTGCACACCCTAGGTGAGTGAGTACCCTGTGCAGGTCCCACCCCGTTCCATCTGCCTTCTCTCTGCTTAGGGTGGACTGGGCAGGTAGGGATGGCCTGGGGTAGGAAGCCATGCTGAGTAGTCTCATCCTCCAGCTCAGACTGTACTAAACCCCCATTGGATTATGGCAAATGTTTCAAGGTCCTGTACCCTTCATCGAGCTCCTGTGGGAGAGGGGCTACGTGGTCAGTTCTGGCATTTCCAGGTGCCTGGTGCTTTATTACCAATGTCCCACCTCTAACTTCTAACAGTTCATTAAGTCTGGGGCACAGCTGAATCACTTGGGTACCTCTAAAAATATAAATTCCCAGGACTTCAAACAAAACATGCTCGTGAATGTTCATGGCAGCACATTCACAAAAAGCAAAAGGTGGAGACAACCCAAGTACCCATCAACGGACTAACGGATCAACGCAATGTGGTCCATCCAGCGAGTGGGATATTACTCAGCCACAAGGGGGAAAGAAGCACTGACACAGGCCACAACAGGGACAAACCTTGAAAACATGCTGAGTGAATGAATCCAGACACAAAAAGCCACATACTGTATGATTCCAGTTACATGAAATTCCAGAATAGGTGAACCCACAGAGATTGAAAACTTATTAGTGGCTGTCGGCTGGACAGAGGAAGGGAGTGGGAGTCACTGTTTAAAGGGGCGTCCTTATGGGGTGATGAAAACGTTCTAGAACTATACAGTGGTGATGATTGCACATCATTAATGTACTAAATGCCACTGAATTGTACACTTCAAAGTGGTTAAAATGGTGAATTTTATGTTATATAGATTTTTACCATAATGAAAAAAAAAATACAATTCCTGATCCTCATTCCAAACCAAAATCTTCAGGCCTGGGTATCTGCAGCTTTAAGAAGCTCTGCCAGGGACAAAATAAAATTAAGCAGAATTTAAGCCCTACCCAGAGGAACCTCAGGTCCAGCTGATTTGGGGACCTGCACTGGAGTCCACACCCCTCCCCCACACAGTCGACACAGCCCTGAGGGGGATGGTGGGGGGCACATCTGCAGTTTCCTTGGGCTGAGCCTTGGTGTGCTGGGACCAGGCTTAGGTTCATCTGCATATGCCAGCCCCCTAGCAAGTGATTGGCCCATAAGTGGGTATGATACTTTGTTTAAGCCAATGAGAATCAGGCATGGAGTTATAGGTGGAAGGACTGGGACAGAAAAAACTTTTTGCAGATTTGCTAGAGAGTGGGAAGTAGGCCTGGGCCTGGGGCAGGTGCTGGTGGGCAGCCAAGGAGTGACCTTAAGGGACAAGTCAGCCTGCTGGGGGCAAACACTGAGGCCCCGGGGATGAAGAGGCTAAGCCTGATGCTAGGGACGCAGTGGCCACCAGACCCCGATACTGGCCTCAAGGTGAAGTGACCCACAGTGTGCAGGAGAGATGGAAGGACCGTGGAGCCCCGAAGCTGCTCTTCAGAGGAAGGGATCCTGAGGTGGGGGACAGAAGCACAGTGAGGCTCTCTGAGACATCAGGTTTGCTCCGATAGAAGAAACATGTGTGGCAGGCGCAAGGGTGGAAGCTGTCATGTGTGGGGGTTATTAGAAAGGAGGCAAGAGAAGGCTTTGGGGGAGGGGAAAGGAGGCTGGAAACCCCCAGCCCCACCCCACGGGCACTGAAGGGACTTTCCCTGGAGACCTGCGCATTCGGGGGCTGGTCCTCTGCCCTCACTCACCTTGCCAGGTGCACACATGGTCCCGTCCAAGGGGGGGCCCTTCTTGGTCTTGCAAAAGTAGGGGTTGTCAGGATGGCTGCACCACAGCTGCTTGCAGGGGTCGAAGGTTCGGAACTGGAAGAGAGCACCAGCAGCTGGCCAGGGCACCTCCCACTGTGGGGAACCCTGTGGGTGCCACCCTGGCCCCCAGGGTCCTCTTGGACAGCTGTGGAGCCAGGCACAGCTTGGCTGCCTGTGACAGGCCCATGTGGCTAGTGGGTGGCCCGAGCTTCACATGATGCTGGGGCCATGAGAACCTTGAATGTACAGCTGCTAACTTTGAGTCCCTATAGGCTACTGGGCTTCCCCAACCTCCCATCCTGGGCAGCTGCACCTCTCATGGATCCTGGACAAACAGCTGGGAGCCAGTGTGCCTGGCATGAGGGCTGGGTGGGCATTCCTCTGGCCCAGGCAGTAATGGTTGGTGGCCAGGAGGGGCTGTCACTATAGGGCCCTAAGGGTACCCGTTGTTCTCCTACTGTGGACGCCACCTCTTGACTCTCTCCTGAAGCCCTCCCCTCTGCTCCAACAGTTCCTGTCCTTGGTCCAGGCTTGGCCTCAGTCCTCTGGACCTTAATCACCTCTTTCTTGACCTTTCTGCTTTCTATTCTGATAGCTCTTCCTCCAGGACATCCCTGAGAAATACAGCTGAAACTCAGACCTGGCCATGCCACGCCCCCTCTTCAAACCACTCCAGAACTCCCCATTGCCCACTGCATTCATTAAGCTAGCGTGCAAGAGGTTAGACAGCCTACATCAGTACTCAAATCTACCACTTGCTCACTGTGTGGCCTTAGGCAATTTACCTAACCTCTCTGGGCCTCAATTTCTTCAGCTATAAAATGGGAATAGTTTCTTACTTCCTACATGCGGATGAGATGGTCATTGAGTCAGACACTGACAGGCACTAAAGCTCTTGCCACACTGCCTCACACTGAGTGGGCCTAGGTCAGCAGATACACTCAATTTTGATGACCAGTTCCTGCTGATGGCTCTGTCTTGGCACTCCATGCTAAGGAACAGCTGGTCACTCGCCTGCTATGTTCCCTCCTTCACACTTGCAATTCCTGCCTTCTGGAATGCCCTCTCTTCCAACTCAGTCTTTACACCTCACTTCTGCCTAGGGAATCCCTCTGGAAGTCCACATGCCACACAGGGGTCCCATCAGGCCTCCACCACCCCTTGCTGGTCCCCAGATCATGGATGGCCCTTGTCAGCTGTGTACTCCCTGCCCAGGACCAAGTCTAGACTGGCCGGTGGGCACTGGGTGTGCCTGGGTGAGGAGCAGTGGGCGAGGAGGGAGGTGCTGCACCCTGGGGGGTTGTCCCATGTGCCTCTGAGGTGCTGGCTCCCACACTCACCGCAGTGCACATCATGTAGCCCAGGCCGAAGTCAAAGCGGCACTGCTCGTTCATGGAGTAGTGCAGTCCGGGCAGCTGGGGCAGCGCCGGCCAGTCGTGGGCAAAGGGGTCATCCCGCAGGCAGTCATAGGAGCTGTGAGGGCACATGTGGGCACCGCAAAGCTGCCTTCAGTGGGACTGGCCATCCAGCTTGTGAGGCAGCCCAGGCCCCTTCCGGAGCCGTGGTGCTGGGTCTGTCTGCCACCCAGCTGTCAGCTGTGCTGCCTCAGTTTCCCTGCTGCATCTCTGCTCCTTGGTGAAAGCTTGCCCAATCCCAGATGTCCATTACAAGTATCCCCGACAATGGGATCTCCTCACACCACCCCACACTGCTATTTCCCTCCCCCATCCCCTGTGCCTTGGTTTGGAGGACCCCAGGTCAGGGGGCTCAGGCTGGACCTGCACATGGGCTGAGCCTGGGGCTGCGAGTCGCCCTGGGGGGACACGGGGCCGTACTCACTGCAGGTAGCGGTTCAGCTCCTGCTGGCTGCAGCGGGACCAGTGGAAGCGGTGGAAGGCTGCCTGCACCAGGGGCGCCATGATGCTGCCCAACCTCACTTCGTCGCCGCAGCGGTTGCCCTGCCCGTCGTGCTCCATGCCCAGCCTGTGCAGGGGGGCCAAGGCAGCCTCACTGGCCCCCAGCTGGTCCACTGTCAGCTCCTCCCCACCCAAATGCTGGGACAGTCCCTCAAGCTGCCTCTGCTGGGCCCTCGGACCTCTGCTGTGCTGGTCTGCACTCAGCCAGGTCGTACCGATACCCCATCAGCCAGAGCCTTAAAGCCAGGGGCTCGCTGGGGAGACGGCATCCAGCAGCAGCCCCTCAGTGTCCTGTCTCCGAGCAAGAGCAGGGTGCTGTGGTGTGAGAATGCAGTGGAGGCAGAGGCATCCGAAGATTGGCTCTCTGGGCACCCTTCCCCATACATTCCCCACACAGACCCAGGGCCCTGTGAAGGTTCTCATCAGTGGCCAGCTAGCCCCAAGATTCAGGTGGTGCCTGGGGCACGCCTACCTGACCTTGGCTCTCTGCTCCTCGGCAAGTCTCCCTGGGAAACTCAGTTATTCATCTGTGAAATGGGGTAGGGACCTCCCCCGCCAGGAGGGGGAGCTTGAATGGCATGATCTGTGGAAAGGCTCCAGCACCCACTCTGCTCTTTCTTTGATTTGTTTCCTTAACAGAAAGTGGACCTTGGGCCTGCCCTGTGCAGTCCTGGGAAGACAGGACATCACATCCCAGTGCTTTTCATATGTGGTGTGTCTCTCTCAACAAGCCCCAGACTACCAGGATAGTGAGGCCACTTACACGTGGCCGGTCTCGTGGGCCACCACAAATGCTGAGGAGAAGCCGTCCTCGTGGTTCAGGGTGCAACTGCGGACAGGGTGGCACATCCCGGTGACAGGAGCATAGCCTGGGAGGAGATAGGGTAGCTCCAGCTCCCAGGTCCAGAGCTCTGAGTGAAACAGGGGGCCCTGGACCCAATGCCCCCCACCATTCTCAAAGCAAACAAGCAGAGTCAACTGCCCCCGGCTGGCACAGCTCAGGAGACTCAGCCCCGGGCTGCCAGGGGCAGTTTCCCAAGCTCAGGTCCTACCTGGGAAGACTGTCATCTCAGGAGCCTCCCACCTGCTATTATCTTTCCTGCCACCTCCTACCTTCCCACTTGGCTGAGTGACCTTCTGGTCCCTGGACAGCACATTGCTCTCCTCCTCCCACTGCTGCAGGCACCTGGCCCCTGGCCTGCCCAGCATCACACCCCGAGCCCACCTCAGGAAGGCCTTCCTAGATGCCCTGTGGCTTCACTATAAGACCCCAGGTAGACCCTCTTCTGGAGGGCACAAGGGCTACCATGAGGGTGGATCTCGAAGCTACTCAAGGGCAGAGTGAGCAAGGACAGCCAGCATGCCACACAGTCCTGCTGGCCATACAGAGGTGGAGGACAAGCCAAGTGGACTGAGGGCACCCAGCTTTGGACGGTGAGGCCCATGGAGCCTTCAGCCAAGCCAGCTAAACCTGGGCTTGGGCTGAGAAGACTCTGAGCCACATCTTGCCTAAAGGTTCTCCTCCTCCAGGGGTATGTGGGGAAGGTGCTCCCAGAGGTGGTGGTGGGGGGAGGTGGGAAGGAGTGGTGGCAGCAGGAACATGTCCCTGACATGGATGCACAGAGACCCTCCAGCCACCCCCACCCCCCAGTCAAGTGACTTTGAAGGAACCACTGAATCCCCAGGTAACAGTGAGGAGATGCAGTGCGTTTTGCCAATCCAGTTACAGTGCGGCCCTGGAGAATGTAGGCTGACAGAGAGCAAAATGTATGGCTGAGGAATAGCCCCAGCAGGAGGGCAGGAAGGCCTGTGGAGGACCGCACCCCTGCCGGCCTGCACCTGATCACTGGGTTTCTTTAGATGTCCCAGGGAAGCCTAGAGAACCAACCGCATGCCCGCTGACAGGGAGGGGGAGGGCTGGAAGGCCTATTGCTCAGACCCCACTTAAAACTGAGCAAAACCAGAGAATGGGGCCTGCCATTTGGCCCTGGACAAGACAAAGAGGTTCATACAGAACTGCGTGTGCCACAGGGGGCCTCTGCTGTGACAGCTGGAGCTCCAAGAGGCCTGCAAAGCAAGGGGCCCCAAGTCTCGGAACCCTGACCTCGCCTCACTCCCCTCAGACTCCATGGGCAGATCCTAAGGCAATTTGTGCAAAGAAAAAAGTAGAGAAGAAGGGAAGAACGTGTGGTAGAGGTGTGCTGGTTTTAGACTTGCCTGTAATCTAACCATTATAATCTAATCAGTAGTCATCTAACCACTGTCTTTTCCTCTTGGAATAAATAAGACAAGCTGTATCTTCAAGTACTTTTTGCTCTGTGGATGTTGAGATTATCATTCTTGACTCAGTGTGCCAGAGCAAAGCTTTGAGGTTTTCCCTTTGTCCTTTGTATGCAAAGCTTGTAGTAGGTGTCTGGGTAAGTATTTCTCACTTACCCTACTTAGCATTACCTGGGCCTTCACAATCTGAAGGTTTGAAAGAGTATCTTTATCTTTTTCTTTATATCCTTCCCTCTTATTTTATTTTACTGTTGTTCTTTCTCTCTTTCTGAAAATCTTATTAGATACATATTATACCTCCTGAATTGTCTTTATCTCCTAACTTTTCTCTCATATTTTAATCTTTCGAATGCCCTTGACCCTTTACTTCAGCTTTTGAATTTTCTTTTTTATCCTCCATATTTTTAATTTCACAAAAAGTCTTTGTTGTTCTCTAATTATTCCTAGCAACCTGTTCTGGGTTGATGGATATATTTTCTCAAACATTCTGGGAATGTTCTTTTCCATTTTCTAAATTATCTCTGTTTCCTCTGGAGTCAGTTTTCCGATTTTTTTTTCCAACTTGGTCTATTTTTCTCATGTGATAATTTATTTGTTTTTAATGTCTGGTAATCCCTTCACATTTTAAGTGAAGGATGAGGTCACTTAATATAAGAGTTATCAGTTTCTTCTCCTATGGAACAGTTGTGCTCCCATTAGAGCTCTCACGGGGACCACACAGCCAACAGTGCTCTATTCGTCATCAGCTGGCCACACCGCTGTAGGGCTTGAAGTGGTTCTAGCAGCCCCTCAAAATGAAGAGGCACCAACACCAACTAGGACCCTTGCTCTGTGATCAGTGTGACAAGAGTTATATTCTCTGTTCCCACCCGCGTCCCATTAGGGTGCTGATCAGTGTGGCAAAGGGAAGCATGGTGGTGCCAGAGATGCTTTATTAACATAAACTATCTTCATCACTAATCTTAGCCTGACCAGCGTCACTTGACAAGTCTCCCTAGTTATGCAAATATGGTCAAATGGTCAGCAGAGAGAATCGGTTAAGTGAGCAGAGCAATGCATGTAATAATTCATGGGAGAAAGTGGTGGGAGGAGTAAGTGTATGTCATGTAAATGTGCTTATGTTTGTAAAAAGAAGTACTGGAATGGCCAACCAGAAACTAATAAAAATGACTACTCATAAAGGATGAAGTGGGTGAAATGGGTCCACTCCTTTGAATAAATATTTTTATACAGATTGTTCAAGCCCTTTCTTTTGAAATATATGTCCATAAAAATGCACAAGTCATAACGATGCAAATAACGAATTATCACAAAGTGATTACACCTGTGTGGGCACCTCCCTAATCAAGAAATCAAACTGTACTCACACTACAGAAGCCCCTCTTGTGACTCACCCCTTGTCCCCACTCTCCTGATTTTTAACACCACAGATAAGTTGTGCCCACTCCCAAAGTTGAAATAAATGGAACCCTAGGGCCGGCCGAGTGGCGCGATGGTTAAGAACTGGTTTGGGACACCAGAGGGCCCCGGTTCGGATCCCACATATGAGGGCCAGTGACACTGCCCTC